AGATAATTGGAGAACGGCAAGCCCAGTTGAATCTGGAAGGCTTAACGTGTGGACGGCATCTACCACTTTTGGAGGAATAGGACGGGAATAGTCGGTAGGTAGTTGGATTTCAATTAGATTCTTTAAACGGGTTTTCCATCTCTTTAGACGTTCTCTTGTTGTCTCATCTATTGCAGATATGTCATTAATCATTGTAAAAGAATTTTGAATGTGTTGCGAATGTGCTTTATTATTATTGCAGTTAGCGTGTTGTACTATTTATTAATAATATGTAATACAAATTCTACGATTATGATAATCTTAATCTCCCACGAAAAAGTTGCGTTTTTGTCATTGTGACACTATATTAATACAGTATATTCTAAAGAGATGTTTTAATTTAGCTTCATTTGATAAGAAATTATTCGTCCTCAATTATAAGCCCTCATCAAATCCTGCGAAACTAATTTAGAGAGTTTTTCACACTTTAACTTCCGTCACAGATTTTTCCAATTATCTGATTTTTTGGTCTTAGTATTAGCATTTTATGGTCTTAACATTTTTCGCGCATACTATTAACGTTTAAGTTACGGGTCAGTATATTAATATTGAATTCCCAAACTGACAGTCGTGGAGATTCTCCTAGCGAGAGCTGATTCTCATATAATACTCTTTCTTCTGTTGTTTGTAATATTGTTGTGAATAATTTGCTTGAGTGGGTTGGAAACCCGACTAGAGAATCTCTAATGCTTGTAATCAATTACAGCTTTTTGTTTCTATTACATTTATTTGTCTATTACTATCGCGTAACAACACGTTCAATTTATACCAAATTGATTTCCTTTGTTACGCATAATTTCAATAAATGACGGCGCGCAAACTTATTTCTAGCTAATGTCTTAATTGTATTTTCGCAGAAAGAGTTTCAATATCAATTGCGTATAAGAAAACGTTATCAGCTGTATTCTTAATACCATGTAACGGCCTATGCTTCGTTGCTAATAAAAGAACACAATCGCAATGTTCTTTGTCCAATTTTGCTCAGTCTGTCCCGCAAGATGAATATTAAGAATACATGATCTATTAGAGATTATGCAAGAAGCTGACGGATTCCGATCTAACTGTTGCAAGTCAGTCTATATTACATCAACCCATTTCTTCTGCTTTCTTATCCACTAAGCTTATGTTCAAATCTCGAGGCAAAACCGACGGTTCCCTCAGCAATTCCTCCAATTTTCTAACCGCACCTAAATCAATAACTACTTTTTCATGGCCAATTATATTATATACATCTGCTTCGTCAAAGATTTCCTGTACTGTCAAGCCATGGACCCTTTTTAGATTCCTCATGGCTAATGTTAGATTCTTATCATTAACTTCTGACAAGAATAATAAAGAATTACCCAATAGTTTATCATCGGCAAGAGGATCCCATGAGTGATGAGAAAATAGAGATAACAGTTGTTGGGTTTTCGGAGAGGGGAGGTTAATTGAATTGACGACTATCAGATCATC